AGATGTTTATTCTGTATTTTATTATGTTTATATGCAGTTAGTTACACGAATTCAGATATAGAGCTTTAATAAGTTGTACTACGCACAATCTACTTGCAATATTGAGTTTTAAGTAATATACATTAATAAATAGTACTTTACGTATAAAAAGTGGTTTTTAAGAGTTTTTGTCAAATGCTTTATAATACACTAGAAAGGTACTCGAGCAATGCAGAGAGATAAATTTTGATTTTAATATTTTATTTTATTCTTTATCTCAGTCGATGTTATAGTATGGGTGATTTTAAAAAAAAATTATGTTTTTATTTTTGAATAATATATAAATTTGAAGATATCATAAAAATTTGACAAAAATATATCGATATTAGTTTCAAATTAACTATTTAAAATTGTTATTTTTTATGTAACTTTTAAATTCAATATTTTTTTATTATAATTTAATTTAGGTTCGAAGTAATTTATATTTGGTTTAGTAATATAATTTTCTTATAAAGATAATAGTTAATTATTTTGTTAGAATTCGATAATTATCTTAATTATATTTTAGATTTTTTATATTTTAAAATGAGATGTTTATCTTTTATTTGATTATGTTTATCCGTAGTTAGTTATCCCAATTCAAACATGGAGCTTTAATAAGTTGTACTTATGCATAGTTTACTTGTAATCTTGAATTTTAAGTAATATGCATCAATATACAGTACTTTACGATTAAAAAATGGTTTTTAAGAGTTTTTGTCAAATAATTTATAATATACTAGAATGGTACTCGAGCAATGCAGCGAGATACATCTTTATGTTAATATTTCATTTTATTCTTTATCTCAGTCGATGTTATAGTATGGTCTTATGTAATTTTAAAAAGCGATAATGTTTTTATTTTTGAATAAAATATAAAATTGAAAATATCATAAAAATGACAAAAATACATCGATATTAATATCAAATTAATTATTTAAAATTTCTATTTTTTTGCAATTTTTTAATTTAATTTTTTTTATTATAATTTAATTTAGTTTCAATAATGAAGTAATTTATATT